ATTAGGTAAAGGATCGGCATACCCGTTCTGCGCCACTTCGATTACCTCCTTCCGGGATTACAGTTCTACAGCTCACAACGGCGATATTTGCTGTATCAGTGATAAGGGAAATCCGTGGAGAAAAGGGAACAATTATAATATTCAGTATAAATATTTTAATTTGTATAGACATTATAGGCAATATGAAGTGATATATCACGAATAAGTGGCATAAGTGGTACGGTCGTTGTTCCTGTAATCTTACCCAGTATCGCCGTCAAAATTTCCACTTTCACGTGACAGCGTTTAAAAATCTTTAAATTCGTTTAAGTTAGGGTTAGTGTTTATAATAGGGCTAGGTTTTAGAGAGGTAATATTAAAATCACTCGAGGAATTTTTTTTGTTAGAGCGCAAAAGATGGTTCCTTTGTTTCCTATGCAAGTTTTTGAGAAATAAGCGATTTTTGAAAAGCGACTGTTTTATTTTGGTCATACTAATAATGTAACGTTACATTAAAACGAAACTCGCTATTGGATGATCATCACGTGAAAGTGAAAATTTGACGGCGATCCTGGGGTAGTTTGTTACTGTATACGTGCTCACGTGATATCATAAAGTGTACTGTTACCCTGCCCGGTTGATTCACGATGTACTGAGGACTACCATAGTGATTGTTTTCCAACTCTCCCGACGTACTGTGGGCAGTTGAGGTTATTGTATTCCGGTTTGAGGTCCAAGAGAAAAGTCCCAGTCGTGGTTTTGTTGTAATTATAAGTATAAGTGCTATTGGTATTATTCGGTTCCCTATACAAGTAAAATAAGCCATACCTACGACCTAATCACACACGCCAAATAAAACCGCCTCTTATCGACTAAGCCTATTCGTAGCATTTGTGTTACAATTATTTAATGTCGCGGATGGATGATGGGTCTCAATTTGAAAATATAAGCTCTACCAAAATTAACTTATACTCTTATTAATAAGTCTAACCCTAAATCCTAACTTGACTATGAAAAAAGAAACCAATAAAAAAGGTTTTAAAAATCGTACATAAAATCGATCCAGATTTTACGATCATCCGATTTCACAATCACCCGCGACATTTAATAAGTGAAACGCGATGCATTGTTCTTATGTAAAGTATAATCAATAAGGTAGCTGCGCAACGCAGTCACTCCAAAACCAGGAACGGGAAATTTTTTGAGCATGTGCAAGGTTATTGTGTCATATTGATATATATTATGAATGCTTGATATTAAATTACTGTTTACTTATCATACGTTTGTAGAATCTTCTTATTACATGCTTTGTAGATTTGTATTTTATAAATTGTAGATGTAATAAAAGTATGCAATATTTTAAATATGAGAACTAGAATATAATTACGAGGACAGCTTCGCTGTCCAGTTTTAACCAATAATCAGATATATTAGGAAGTGTGATGATGACATGATGTTGTTAGTTGATGATAATTTGATAATTTGATAATGCTTCATTTTCTTGTTTCAAATTTAGTTTAAGCTCTCATGTTGGTCTCTCTTTACTTGGCTTGTTCATTTCAGGTCTTGCTTTACATCTTAGACTTACTTCAAGCTTAGCTTTACATTTTTTATGTTTCAGTCTCACTTCGTTCTGCTGAGTTAAGACTAACTTTATATTTTCTATTCTTTGACATAGTTTTGTTTAGTTTCGTCTTTAAGCTCCACATTTTTTACATCATATGAGTGCCACCAAGGGATAGGAATTTAAGATTGTAACTTGTACTTAGTCTTTGAAAAGTCTAATAATATGTCGATTATCAGATTTTTAAAGAGCTAAGTCCAATAAGTTAATTTGAATTCTCTCAACACTTATATATAAAAAGTGATACTGTATTTACAAGTTTTAAGTAAGATTCATAGTCACATGATCGTCGCTACGATTTTTCGAGTACCTTTGATGATAAATATTTATTATTTCTTCTTTACAAAATTTGGCTACTAATTATTAGCAAATAGTCTATCTACCTTCTGACCTAGTTGATGACTAATAAATTATAACATTGTGAAGCGACATAAACAGTAAAAGCAATAGAATTAATACAACAGGAGGAACCGTCGATGTTACACGACTGATTCTTCACCCGGTGCGCAACATATAAAAAAATCATTTTACAATATCAGATCATTCCGCTAGTACATGTTATGATTATAATCCCACACCATTTTTATTATAATAAAATGGTGTGGGATTATAATCATAACATGTACTAGCGGAATGATCTGATATTGTAAAATGATTTTTTTTATATGTTGCGCACCGGGTGAAGAATCAGTCGTGTAACATCGACGGTTCCTCCTGTTGTTTTCTATTAGTAATTGTTGGATTCTATCGTATAGTTACGTAATTGCGTAGTATTTTCAATCTGGTGATCGTTAGAGTTAGTTATAATAGCAACGTAATTACATCGTTAGAGTTTATCAGTTATATAGTAACGAGTTTTTTTCCAGACAAGATAATTTCTGTTTTTTCTGCTAACCCGACTTTGTCTGGTTTTTTCGTCCCGCCCTTGTTTGTTCGAGTTTTGTTTTGATGAGGATTTGGTCTATCGGACGGCAGCCAAGTCCATATTAAGTAGGCGACATGTCGGACGACAGTCACGAAAATTGGTTGTTTTTATTCACAGTGGGTTCGAATTTGGCCTGTCGGACGACAGTTAAATCAAGGGTAAGTGGCCTATCGGGACGATAATCACGAAAAAATTCGCATTCAGATTAACGTTGCACACGGTTGCATTTTTATTGGCACGATTATTTTCACTTTTATTTGTGCCTTGATTAGTACTTTTACTTGAACTTTATTTGCGCTTATTTGCACTTTGTCGATACTCTTTAATTCTGCATGGTCTAGAAAGTTTGCACGAAGTAGCAGAGACAGAATACCCGTAAATGTACTTCATTGTCTTCATGTATTTTGGTGTCTTGTCACAACACCTCTTCGATGAGTGACAAAAATGATCCATATTATAATAGTATGCACATTAAAGCGCACGAAATGTTTCATGCGCATGATATCGCATGATAAAAAATAGGCAAAAAAAAAGAAAAAACAATCAAGAGGAGGTAAATCTTGATGAGATAAAATGGAGTCATGCGCATGATTCCGCAATCATGCACACGCAAGAAACCCATCTCTAAACCGAATGCAAGATTTTGTAGACGAACACCCTGGAGTTTGTCGTAAACCATACTCTCCATTTTCACTTACGGAAAACTCTGTTCTTGGTAAAAGTAATCATATGACGCATATAAAAGAATATAAAAAGAAATACCTAATCAAAAGCATGTATTTGTACAGAAACGCTTGACTTGCCACTTGACCATTCACCCCGTTCCTGATATACATGTAAATTTAATTTGATGATTAAATTTAAGGCAAGTGCGAGTAAGGGCAGATTATAAAAATTTTGAATTTGCGGAATTTTTTCTTTTATAAATCGTACGTGCATGCGTAGTACCATTTATGTATATTCGATTTAACGTCACGCTGGTACACAAACAATTACCAATTACATCCATCGGTGCAATAAAAATATGCAAATATCATTATAATAATGAGATGATTCTTATTCGGATTAAATTATATATTAAATTCATCTCTCTTGACTTATTAGGCTGTACTTTTAAAATGAATTACTACTTAATTTCAATTTTTACGTTTTTTGGTTATATTTTGTATAAATGTTATATTTATCCTTTATATCTGTCACCATTACGTAAAATACCAGGTCCACCGGGCAACAATTTCATTTTTGGACACCTTATCTCTCTTTTTAAAGATAAGCAAGGTGAAGCTTTTATTCACCTAGCAAAGCAATATGGTGGAATAATTCGGTTTCATGCATTATTGAATAAACCTTATATATCGATTTCTGATCCAAAACTTGTTCAGCAAGTATTAATAAATCGTTCATACGAATTTCCAAAATACTTTATAAGCAAATCTATGATAAAAGATCTTGTTGGCGAGGATGGCATTTCATTTTCCCAAGGAGATGCTCATAAACGGCTAAGAAAATTGATTAGTCCTTCATTCGCTTTTGCTAATATCAAGGTATTTTTTTACTATTATTAATATTGTCATCAATTAAAAACATCAATCATTATGTTGATTATTTTGATTTTCTAAATTTTAAGGAAGTGCTTCCAATATTCATTCAAGCTGGTCACAAATTGAAAGATGCTTGGTTGAAACAAATTGGTAATAAGAAAGAGGAAAGAATTACGATTACCGCGTTAATTCCAAAGATAACATTAGATGTTATTGGCCTTGTTGGTATATATTAGTCTGTATTCTTTTACATATTACTGTATTAGATTTTATCAATAACATTTTTTAATCTTAATAATAATCAAAATGATTCAATAGGATTTAATTATGAATTCAATTCTATTACTTCAGACTCTGAATTAGCTCGAGCATATCATTCAATAACTAATAAAAGGCCTTCGTTTTTATATATGGAGCTTTTAAACATTTTTCCATTCATCAAAAAAATTCCAACCTCTTATAACAACCAATACTGGAATTCTATTAAAACCATCGATAATGTTACTGAGAAACTAATTGCTGAACAAAAAAATGCCACTGTTCGAGGAAAAGATTTCTTGTCTTTATTAATAAAAATAAATGAAAATTTGTCTATTAATGAACAATTAACACATAAGGGATTACGTAGTATGGTAAAAATATATTTAATTATAGTATATAACTTTATTAATTTTTATTTAACTTACAAATTCATTAAATTTCAGGTTATGACATTACTTTTTGCTGGACATGAAACAACTAGTAGTTTACTAACTTGGGCGCTATATTATCTCGCAAAAATTCCTGATATTCAGGATCATCTTCGTAAAGAAGTACTTGATAAATTTCCCGATCGTAATTATTTTCCAACTTTTGAGGAAATTGATCATTTGAAATATTTGGAATGTGTCTTTAAAGAATCTTTAAGGATTAGTCCACCTGGTATGGATCACTATTTATTTCTTGATTTTGTTCAATTTATTTACTCTATTTATTTTTTTTTATCTCTATTTTAAAGTAACTGCTCTCACGCGTTATTGTTCAAAAGATGAAATTATGAATGGTTACGTTACTCCAAAGGTATTTTCATAAATAACTTTATAGTTCAATTTATTTTGATATTGATATTACTATATTTAAAATTTTCTTTTAGGGAACTCAATTCATTATTCCTATATACGCAATCCATCATGATCCTTTAATTTGGGGTGATGATGTTGAATCTTTTAATCCATCTCGATGGCTTGATCCAGAAATAAAATCAAAAATTTCAAATAATAATTTCTTACCTTTCGGTGCCGGTGTAAGAAATTGTTTAGGAATGAAAATGGCTCAGTTAGAATTTAAATGCGTTATACCTATAATTATTAGGAACTTTGAGTTTAGATTAGTTGAAGGATTTACGTTTAAAAAGTCGACAAATGGTTTATGTAAACCAATTCCTGGAATTGATTTATTTGTTTCAAAAGTGGATTATTAATCTTTTTCCTTAAAATAAGATCATTATAAATAATTGGTGTTGTTTTAAACTATATTGATTTTTTGTGTCTTAAAATGGTTTCCCCAATCAAGCAATAACATTTTAATTATATTGTTATTAAATGTGTCTATTTTAATAATAAAAACTAATTAAATTTTTACAGTTTGAAATAAATAAGTTTTTTAACCCTTTAATAATAATAATATTATTATTATTTTGAATTGTGAAAAAAAATTTTAGATGTTAAAATTGTACTACTTAAAGAGTACTACATAAAAGAGTAGATTACACCTAAAATTTTTTTTAGTGTTTGATTTTGCTAGGAACAAAGTGCAACGAAGAATATACCAAGAACGTAGTACAATAAAGAGATTTTAATGGCAAGTGATGTGATGTGTACAATTTTCAGCATGACTTTGCCTTTTATATTTGTATGTACTGACGCGAGTGAAACGGCGAGTCAGTTGCTTCTCGAACGGATATGTCGTGTAATCTACGAATGGCTTAGTCGCTAAGAGGCGGTTAGATTTGGAGAGTGGTGTGTTTATGATCGTAGGTTTTACAAGGTAGCGAAGGCTAGGGAATTATGAGGGTCAAACTTCATTACAAGCACGAACTCTGCATACTTCTTCAGAGGGCTCGAAGCCTTTATTATATACTTTCTTTTTCATAGTATGCATTATACATCTTATCTGTGATATATTACTTATGCTTATTATACCTATTATAATGTCTATACTAATTATACCTTTTATCTCACCGATTTTCCTTATAACACTGATATCCCTTAAAGACCCGATATGATGTTTACAACTTATACGACGTATAATACCGGGAAACCCATCTTAGGTAAAAGATCGACATACCCGAGAGAGCATGACTTAGGTCATGCGGTGAATATTTCATGACAAAATCGTCACTCATGGATCACGTGTTTCGGGTCTAACATTTCTCCTTCACTTAGTATATGTGTACCACGCATATAATTACAAAGAACTTGACGGTGGAGTTTAAATGTGGAGTTCTTAGGGTTTTAGAAATCTTTAAGAAACAATTTTGATTAGGAGCACAGAGTTAAGAAGTTAAGACCACCTAGGCTTTTCTTCACTTCACTGATATGGTTTTTTTTTTAACCTTTATTGCAGCTCTTTATCCACAGGCACTTCACACTTTTTGTGCAGATCTTACTCCTTGCCAGACCAGGCTCTATCATTACGACTTACAGGCAGGTTCACCTCACTTCTTGTCTCAAGACTTTAGCTTTAATATTGAATTTTTTTGGTTCATCTTATAGTCATCACCAAAATAATACCATCAAACTGGTGTCAGCATTTTGTTTACTTCTCAATGAGATATGTTGTGTAACCTACAAATGGCTCAGGTGATAAGAGGCAGTTAGATTTGGCAAGTAGTGTATTTATGATTGTAGGTTTTACAAGGTAGCAAAGGTCAGGGAATTATAAGAATCAAACATTATTATAAGCACAAACTCTGCATACTTTTTTCAAAAGGCTTGAAGCCTTTATTATATACTTTCTTTTTCATAATATGCATTATATATTTTATTTATGATAAATTATTTATGCTTATTATACCTATTATAATGTCTATACTAATTATACCTTTTATCTTACCAATTTCTCTTATAACATTGATATTCCTTAAAGACCTAATATAATGTTTACAACTTATATGATATATAATGTCAGAAAACCCATTTTAGATAAAATATTGGCATACTTAAGAGAGCATAACTTAGGGTCATACAGCAAAGATCTCATGACAAAATTGTTACTCATGAATTATATGTTTTAGATCTAACACTATGTAGTCCTATATAAAAATTGAATTTCCTTATATCAAAAAAATCCTGAACTGCTAGGCAAAAAGATATAGGTTATAGTATATCAAAAATTCACTATATATCTAACATTAACAATCATGTCTTATAAATAAAACTTTATTCTGAAAACATTTATTTAGAGGTAAGATTTTGTATAGACTAGTCTGAGTTGGATATTTCAAGTTCAGAACCAGCTTATATTTAATTAGATAAATTCAAATCTAGTCTATGACCAAATAGTACAATCTATAGATTCAAAGAGCACAAACTGTAAACTGTTTATTTCTAAATTAAGCTTAAGTTCATAATTTTAACATCATATAATAAGAAAAATAATAATGATATTTATAATTTTGGCTAATCAGATTAATAATAGACTATTTATAGATCTTTGAATCTGGATTCAATTATTCATAGTCAAAAATTTTTGAACTAAGACATCCTATATTGGTCCAATCTATAGATGCTCCATGGATAGTCCAGCCTATGTGAAACCCTACTTAAAGGTTAGAAGTTAGTTATAATAATAAATTTTTGCATTATTTGTATTTTTTTACAATTTTTTATGTTTTTTTGCATTTGTTTTGTCATATGAGATTCTGTAATTTTATTGGATTCAGATATGGTCAGAAGTGATCTTTAGTAATCTTTAGCTTAGAATTTTTTTGATATAAGAATACTATGAATAGTAGAAACATAATCCCAGAAGCACATAACAGAGAATGATCAATGTAGTGCAGTTATATAATAAATGACTATATTAATCATCTACCTAAAATTGGTTTTTCAGAATTATCAGTCATAAAAGTCATTTAGAAAATATAAGGATAATAGATAATAAGAGTTTTAAGAAAAAACTATAAGTAAAGAGATATATAGTATTTAGAGGATTTAAGTAATATAGAACATCAAAAGTGTATATATTAAATATATATTTAATATGTTTATTAGCTATAGGAATGCATATATAATAGAACAGTATATAATAAAGGCTTTAAGTCCTATAAGAAGCAGAAGTTGATGCTTGCAATACATTTTGACCCAAATACTTTTCTGCTTATATAATATTATATTATAAAACTTATGATCATAAACATACTACTTGCCAAATTTAATTGCCTTTTATCAACTAAGTCATTTATAGGTTATATGACATATTCATTTGTCAAGCAACTGACTCACCATTTTGCCTATATTATTTTGGTGATGACTGTAAATCTGACATCTAAGAACAGCTGAACTGTGGAATAAGATTAGTATCTCAATAGTATATGATGTGTAATAAGATAGGAAAAGACAATTGATTAGTAAAAGAATAAGTACCAAAAAAGAAAAAAATACAAAAAATTTATCTAACATCTTAGAGACTAGAGAAAATAGAAGTCATAATAAAGAAGACTTAAAGAAGCTCCTCAAAAGAAGCTTGATGCTTATATTATAAAAAAAAAGCACCTTGTCAGTAAATGCTCAAATATAATAGCATTAGAACAGAAATATGCAGTCTTATTTAAAGCATTTATCAATAAACAAGCTCAAAAAGTCTAATAAACTATTAATAAAACCTTTGAATATCAAAATCTTAATAAAAGACAAATTCTCTAGGCTCTAGAATTTGTTTTAGAAGTGCTAGAAAATTATTAAAAAAGTTCTTAAGTTGAAAAAATAGCCTATCTAAATGTTAACTTATTAGGTATTAAGACACTCACTATGTTTTTAGTGAAAAGGTCTTTTGAAAGTTTTTAAAATTTGCTTAGTAAAACCCTATTAGAAAAGACCAGCCTTGTCCATAACAGAAATTCTTGATACCTACTACATCCTGGAAATGTTAATAAAAGAGAATGATATTTTGATGAATAAGATTAAAGATTCTATGCCTTTAGTAATTCCAAGTCTGGATGCTTTCTTAATGCTGTTCTGTTGCCAAAAGGACTTGATTAACAAAATACTTGACTTCTATCTTGTTTTAGAAGAAAAAGAATATAGAACAGGCATTAAAAAGAAAGAAAATAATAGAACAGAAGTTAAAAAAACTGAATGAATTGAAGTTGAAAAAGACAAACATAAAGTGGTCAAATACTTTTAAAAAGCTATCAACATGGATTATATTAAAGAAAATTTTAATATTAGATATCATTATGAACATGAAATTAAAGTTAAAAAGGCAGAACAAGAATTTAGTAAATAAGTAAAAGACAAAGATAGCTTAGAAGATGAGTTGGAAGACTTAATCAACAGTTACTTAAAAACTCTAAAAACCTGGACACCTAAATATAATATATTTGAAGAACCAAAATTTGCTAAAATAGTCAAATCCAAGACTTCTGTTTATTACCAAAAACCAGCAGAAATTGAACATGTTAATGGAGCATATAAGGTTGAATATTGTTATAAAAAAGAAATTAAAGTTAAAAAGAATAAAAATAAGAGAATCAAGGTTATAAAAGAAGAACATAAGACATCTTTATTATCAAAAACTTAATAATATGAAAGATAAAAAGGAAGCATTTAGAAGGCCTCCTATGATCACAGAAATAAAATTTAAATCTAAAGCTAACAATGATGAACCTAAGACTGAAAAGAATAAATTTAAAGTTTCAAAGACCAACAAAAATTTGCAAAAATAAAAAAGCTAATAGAACATATTCTGTTAGTTATTGTTTTGAACATGTAATTGAAGTTAAAAAGACTGATAAAAATAGCAGTTCAAATGAACAAAACAGTGCTATATTCTGTAATGAAAAGGGAACTAAAATCTACTGAAATCTAATAAAGAACCCCTGAAAGTAAAGCCAAAAAGAATGAATATGATTCTTGCAATAGCCCTCTAAAATCATATAAGTTGGGCCTTTCTGTTGACATGTATAATATTGGACATTGGACATTGTCATTGAAATGGAATAGTTGTCAAAAAATATAAATAAAAAGCCTTCATTTATTATCAAAGACATGCTGAATTGAGTAATGCTAATAGTGCATATAATGTTGGTTATTGTTAACAGAATGGGATTGAAGTTCAAATAAATGAATATAAGGTGTTCAAAGATTATGAAAAATCAGAAAACCTAGGATATACTAAAGAAGTATATAAGGTTGGACATTGTTATTACAACAAAAATTATGTTATTAAGGATAAACATCAAGCAATTACTTGGTATCA